CCTCAAAGTGTACAAGCTTCAAACTTCAGCGTTGGCTGCGATTTTGAAGCTGAAATCGCGTTCGGTGTGAACGCAGCATGAGAGAAATCAAGCTGTTAAAAAGACCAGAGGTTGTTTCTYTTTTCTCTCTTTTTGCAGGTGTAGAGGCAGAAATGTGTTGTGTTCTGTTTTATGAATGCATCTGTCTCATATCTTCGTTTCCCGTTCTCTTTTTTCAGTCTCCGTGTCCGTTATATCGAATTAATCCCAAAAGAATTTATAAGAAAAGGTTTAAATATATTTCTAGTGGAGCATCATGGTGAAATACCATTTTGATGCACTTGTGAAACTTGTAAAACTGTTGGGCTTCATTTGGACACTGGACATCAATTCTGAGTTTCACATTGCCGGACAGGACATGGTAAAAAAAAAAACAAACAGATGTTCTCCAACAAAGTCCTGATGGTGAAGTGGTTTTCTCACGATTCCAACATTTTTTCCCTTTTAGAGGAATTTGACATCAAAAACATCTGTGAGTAACTGTAACTTTGTTTTAATTGTTCCTGAATGCCAGAAGGTTAGAACTAACAACAGTTGTGTCGTCTGTTTTTTACAGACAAAATCAAACCACTGAAAGAACATCCACGAGTGGTGATTCCTTTACTTTTACCATGAAAACAGGTGCATTAGATTCATGTGTTTATGTATCCTTTAATGTGTAGATATGAGCAGTGATTGAAACACAAAGGGTTGTACAAGGGTGAATATACATTTACATTGTAATTTAACGGTTTACTAAGTCAGCCTGAGGTTTATTATTATATATTATTTGAAAATAGTACGGGGTAGGAGTTTATAAGGTTTTTACTTCTTCCAACTCCATTTCGAACATGTTAAGATTATTATTGTCATGAAATATGTGTATTTTGTATTTAATATGTGTAATATGTTTAAGTATGGTTATCTCTTTGTACTGTATGGTCATCATGTTCGAAATAAATTTGTTTGATTGATTGATAAACTCTGTCACTTTGACATGTAGGGACAGAGKGAAACTGTAAAAGGTTTTGTTCAGAGTTGTGAATGGATTTCTTCTGAAATAWGGTTTACTAAAATAACAACTGACAAAAAAAGCATGCATTTGTGACAGAAAACCTGAAAAACATAATATTTTCCCCACCGTTGTGTGGAAGAATTTAAAGGATTACAACCAGAAATAAGAGAACTAAAATTCATTCTTTCAAAGTTGTGATCCAAGATGTTTGTAAGGACATTATCAAAGGTGTTTGGGTCAAACTCATTATCAGGCTGAGGTAGCGTAATGACAAACCGCTCTCTGAAGTCATATATAT